TGCGTGGCTCCTCATCTTTCGAAAAGCGAAAACAGGCACGAATCAGACCAGCTTCGTGCTCGAGCATACAGACTGAATTCACCTGGATGTCTGCGGAATGCGCGTTCGGCTTTCTTCTTCGTCGCATCGCAGTGGTGTTGTTGAAGACCCCACAGCATCCGGATCCTCTCCCGTGAAAGGGGCTGGGGCCCCCCAGAATCCAGCCCCAAAACCCTGAAGACTCGGAGGTCCAAAGCGTGACCCTAAACCATAAACCCAAAACCCTAAACCCTAAACCCAGAGCGCAATACGTCGGAATCTCGGAAGTCTCTCTTTCCTCAACAGCTACAGATCTCCCAATAAATCAGGAAGGTACACCCTGACCCGCGTTGTGTCACGGTGCCTTTGGGAAACTACCCTACCTCTCTTGTCGTCTGATCCGAACTCAAAGTGAGGCACCTTCTTTAGGACCGGCTCTAGAAGGTGGAAAGTATGGCCCGAAGAACCAAAGTATAGTTTTAAAATCTCGACATGAATATCTGTTGGCAACCTATATCTGGCACCACTATAAAAACTTAAACACTGCATCCCGAGACCGGTAGCTCTAAGAGGATCCGACTCCCGTCAGTTTGCGAACTTGAGGCCGAAACTGGAAGGCCCCAAAGGACTGGGACGACCCAAAGGTTCAATACGTCTTGGGCTTATTGTCTAGGATTTATAAGAGAAGGCAATCCGCTACTTGGGTTCTCCTTTACAGGCGTCGGCTGTGTAGGGAGGGAACCCGAACAGCGTAGAGCTACCGCCCACATTCATTCATAAATTCCTTAGACATGCCAGAGCAGTTTAAGACAAAACACAGCTCAAATCCTATTCCGTCCAAGCATGCGGAGCACGTATCTTGCGAACTCCTCAGAATTCCCTTTAAACCCTCTGCCAAGCCCCTATACATGTCAGACCAATAGTAAACTCCGAGCAAGACACTGCATACAATACAACCTGTGAACCCCTCCCACAAAAAGAAGACGTGTTCAGAAGAATCCTCCACCGGTGTATTCCCACACCCTGAAACCTAAATTCCTAGCAGCTTCCGGGCTGAAGAATTTAAGATTCAGGAGTTTAGAGTTCCGGGTTGGCTTAGGCTCAGCTTTGCTGTCCCAGCGTCTGCTGCTGCACGTCCATCCTCGGCGCACGCTGCTTGAGCTCAGAGGCCCTGCTTAAAGGCTCCTGTGAGGGATTCTTTCAGGGCTGCTTTAAGGGATCATGAGAGGGTTCCTGTAAGGGCCTCTGTGTAGGATTTTCTGTTCAGGGTCCCTTTCTAGGGCCACTGCATGAAGCTCCATAGGATTGAAATCTCCGCTGTTGACCCGAAGCAAGCCTTGAATTCAACACCTTCATCCCAGGCCCCTATAATCTACACGTGCAGGAAGGACAAGGCTTGCAGTTTGGATTGAGGGATCAGCCTTGGGGCGCAAGGTTAAGGCTATGTGTTTTGCGGTTTAGGATTGCGCCTAAACTCATCCAGGTCTCATCTTCCCAAACGCGATGCCGCCGCGCTGCGCCTGCAGGCAGGGTGCACTCCATACTGGGGCTTACGGATTTGCTTCAGGCTCTGAGGGCTAGATGAGGGACTGTGCGTGCGATCCGTGGTTTCGGGACAAGAAATGCTGGCTTCAGGATCCAAGGCTATGGGATTTAAATCTGTGGAAACCCTGGGTCCCGGGCTCGAGACACATAAAAGAGCATCTTGTAGCTGTGGGTCGAATCGAATCACTTTTAAGCACCTCACCCCCCTTCCTGAAACGTTGAAATCCCGCGGGCCATCCCCTCGAAAGCCCTACCTCGAGGCACTCCCTTGACCCCCCTACTTGAAACCCAGGCCAACTACCTCCATGATCTCTTCCTGTGTCGGCGGTTGCTCGCCGTCGTACCTCGGAAGTCTCTGAGAGGCGTTCGAGGAAACTGGCGATTGCTGTCTGCAACCACAGGGGTTTTCCGCTCCCTTGAAGGGAGTTTTCGTGCTCAAGCATTTAGAAGATATGACTAGGGTAGATCTTAACAGCAGAGGAAACTGGACAGCTTGGGTTCGGGATTTGATGCTGCCCCGTGACAGCTACAACTACGACGATGATGTCGAGGACGAGGACGACAAGCAGCAGCAGCAGCAGCACCACCACCACCACCACCACCACCAGCAGCAGCAGCAGCAGCACCACCACCACCACCACCACCACCACCACCACCACCACACTGTTGCTGCTATTGAGGGCCGATTGTTGTGAGGTTTGCTCTCGTGTTGGTCGACAATTGCTGTGACAGCCAATGCGCAAGTTGTGATGATGCCATTATAGTTCGATTGTTGTCGTTGAGCCAACCCTGCTTACTTCTCTTACCTTTGTTACTTTCCGTCTCGACATTTCTATGACTTCAGCTTCGAGACTTGGCTTCAGGGAATTGCGGGGAGCATTCGCAGGTTCTCACCCATCTTGCGTCTGGGAAGCATCTCATGCGAGCTCACTTTCGGCTCCCTTCAGTTTTCCATGTAGCTGGTTGTTCATGCTCCGAGCTACATTCCGTGACAAAGACCTGCAGTACTGAGAGTACACGACGAGTACTTGGACGACACTAGAAAGGGATATGGTGAGACTTCTCTGGTGCTGCTACCAAGGACCTAGGAGTCGTAGTAACAAGGGCCTGAGAACCAATGCCAGGGTCGTGTCTGACATCCTAAACCAAAACCCGTATTATTTGTCCTTTAACTTTTAAAAGCCTTACCCGAAGCTTGAGGACACTTGAGGTCCCGGCTCTTCCGGCACTTCGTTCTCGTCCACAACCTCCTCATCCAGCAGGCCACCTCTACATAGGAAGAATGCAAGTCTCGTGATTCAGGATTCAGGGGCAGTGGGCTTCCGGCCGGGCTCAGGGTGTCCAATCATCTAGACTTTGCGGTGTAGACTTCGGGAACCTGAAGGTTCCCTATGTGGCCCTATTTCGACGGTTCAACAACTCCACAGACACGACTCCTTGATGACAGCTAAGGTTTCTGGAACCTGTTTGTGAGGAGCCTCCTCATACCCCACACGTAGTATCTTTAAGCTTCTTCGGCAACAGTTTCCAATTCCGGGCAAGCCTGATGTCGCCCAATGAATGTGGAGAGCTTGCGTGAGACACTATTTGGAGTCTTGTGAGTTCACATGGACAATTCAATGCCTCCTGGCTGACCAGAGCCCCCTCCTCGAGTACACCTGAACTCAAAGCCCTAAGCTCTCGACCTGGCGGTCTTGCCCTTCACCCTGAACCCTCAGCCCTAAGCCTAGCCTGTGAGTCCCCGGCCTGCCAAGGAGGAGGAGTTCGAGCCAATCATCAAGCCTGTAAGTTACTCTGGGATATGGTCTCTTCAAAAGGTGTGTGTTGGCCTGTGGTCAGTGGTGATTCTACAAACTGCCGGTGCCCCTGGTAGTTTGCAGACGCAAGTGATGCACTTAAGCGTGGAGAAGCTCTACTTGTCGTAACCTGGAGAGTTTAGTTTAAACAGATTTTGAATCTTCCGCAGCCCCCTGCCCACTTTTCGCTCAAGGTCTCAGGGCAGGTATGTGTCGGGGAAGACGTCCATAAACGGTGGGCCCCAAGCTTGCGCAAGGCTCAAGCATCTTGAGGTTCATGTCATCAAAGCATTCCTGAATCCTCCAAACCCTAAGCCGCAACCCGAACACGAAACGTCAAACCCTAAATTCCAAGCCCGATCCATGTTCTCGCAGCCCCGAAGCACAGGCACTTTCCGGGTTTCGGTTTTTGGTCATGAGCCTGTTGATGCAATGAACGTGTAGATCCCTAGCTGGGCTACGCCGAGTATTACTAACAAAACTGGACCCGAAACGGGAGAAGCACAAACCCTGGAAGCCAACAGCTTTAAGAACGCCTCCCCTACTTCACATCCGAAACCGGCCAGAGAACGCCCCAAATCCGAAAGCCCCTGCGCACCTTCCGACTTAGCCTGAAGGTTTTTTGAAACTCCATTGTTGAAACTCCATTGTAGTGCTCAGGTTTTACATACAAAATTGGACGCACACCTCCCCTCCTCCAAGCCTGGCGTGTGAGGTGGCATTTCCCATTGCACGTGGTCATCGCCCGCCGTATCCAAGGAAACGAGCCTCACGACACCAGATGTTAATGGCAAGGCCAATCAAGATTTTGGATGCTTAGCGCTGGTAACTCCTCCCCACGCCCCTATAGTATAATACGACAACCTAAAACATGCATTTTAAATCTTCAGGCCCACGCATTTAACCCAACCAACGTATAGAACTCCATGACAACAGGATAGGGCTTTGGGGCTTTGGGGTTTGAGGTTTTGGGAAGAGGGGCTTGGGGGTTTAGGGTTTAGGCAGGAACGACACAGCACAAATGAACGCGCAAGACACGACACTGTGCACATGGTCAGACTTTTAGCGGCAAACATGAAAAGCTGCATGAGTCCGGATCTTTCCGGGCGACTATATGCAGCAGGTCGTCTTGCGAGCTCTGGGCTTCCTTAGCGCGAATTTCTCGGCTGGCTTTTGACTCAACATCCCCTTCCATGGGAGCACTCACACTAGGTGTGCACTTGCTTGGAGAGCAGGGTCGATGCTGAAAACACATGCGAAAGATAAGGTGACAAGATGTTGAGCCGGCTATGTGCAAAGGAACCAAAAGAAGACTTGCCAACACATTGCCAGCCGGGTCGGTGAACACACTCACATCACGCTCTTTCAGCTTTCCTGCCGCCAAGGTCTGGGGGAGCTTGGGGGCACAGTCCGTTTCCGAGCGATTCCGTGGTGTCTTTTGCCCCGGCTTCCAGAACGAAGCAGAGATCCGAGGCTGCCATAAATCCACCTTAACGACGTATACGCGCACAAGCATTGCGATCAAAGGCCGACCCAGATCTTGCCAATGCCTCCCTCAAGCAAGCGGTCGAAAGAGAATCCGGTGGGACAAGTCTTGCTCTGCCACACCACACCCAACTGCACACAGAATCTTCAACAACTTCAATGGCTCAGCGCCAAACGCTGGGCGACAGAGAACCGAAGCCCACCCCACAGCATCAATAGAAAGCATTGCATTAGCCGGGAGTCCTCGACAGCAGGCCCCACAGCCGCTTCGTGTAGCTCGCGCACAGCACCAAAGTACACAGGCAGCGCTTCTTTGGGCGGCTTGCGGTCCCACTTGCCAGCTGCCAACCAAGCCCCCAATATCGGACCGTGCAAGATGGCCGCAAAGGTCTGTAAGCCCAACTTGCGCGAAACGAACCGGAGAGCGCACCGGCCTGCGAGCAACGTTTTCATCGGCTACACTTAGTGCCCGCAGCCAAAGTTTCTAGGAAGTCCGGCAGGCTCGCGCACGCTGGAGCTGCCGTAGAGACTTTGGAGCAGTGACAGCATTTTGCCCAACGGCACCATCCAGACAAGTGGCGCTTGAGTAACCTTGGTGCCCGATCCGTGAAAAGAAACGGCTGCTCCGGGCTCTGCGACAGAGAACTATCCTGCTCCACAGAACGCACCAGCCCCGCCAAAACCCAAGCTAAACGCTTACTCTCGGCATCTTCACGCTCGGCACCACTCAGACTGACGGACTGCAATCCGTTGCAATCCTGCAGACCTGACACGGCGTAGTCGCAGGAACAAACGGGCTCGATAACGGCACACGAAAGCGGCATGGAACACGGGTTTATGACAAGCACATCGCATACCTGATATGGGCAGGCACCAACACGTCGAACCGGCCGTGGCACAGCGGCATCTGGCACTCCCATCTCGATACGTGTCGGCGGCATATCCAACAGCGACGAAGCAACAGGAAGGCGAGACAGACAAAAGGTGCTGGCAAACGCACGGTCCAGCTGACGATACCTGCAACAATCGCCTGGCACAAAGGACCTGGTCAAGCTGGAACCAAAAAGTGCATGCTGCCTGGTCGCCTCATCCACCTGACCAAGCCTTTGCAAGGGGACCAGGTCTAGGACTAAGGGCTTGAGGTTTGGAGTTTAGCATTCCGCTTGCTGAGACTCGCGGCATAGGATCTCTGGGCTGAAGAACTTGGTGGAATGGGCAGATACGCAAGACCAAAAACACACGAAAAAACGCAGTTTCTTGCCCTAGCGTCCTACGATAATAGGAGAAGATTGAAAGCAAGACACGAAAACCATACCGCCCCCCCCCCCAAATCCCTCAACACCAAACAAAGAAGCCGTACACCCCCTTCACAACACCTTTAAAGGAACCCTGAACAGAACCCTCCGAACCCTGATCAGAATCCTCACAGGCCCTAAACCCGAAACCCTAAACTCCTTTTGACTGAACCCTCGGGGGCCTCTGTGGTGCAGGCATCTTCAGCCTGATGAGGCTCGGCGTAGGGTGGATTTTAGGCGCGGGCTAAGGTTTGGGGTAGGAGGCTTCGGGTTTAGGGTTCGGGGTTCAGGGTCTAGGGTTTCTGGTTTAAGGGTTTGGGCAGGTGCAGGACGGCTCACGAATGCAAGGATGCTTAAGCCAAAATTCGCATCCCAACGTCCCCCTACCAGAGTGCCTTCAAGTAGAGCCTAGGATTTTAGGCCAGCGACCTGCATCCCACAATCCCCAAACCCCAAACCCTTGAATCCTAGAGCCCTAAGCGAAGGCAAGGACTCTAGCTTGTCGCAAGCTTCCTGTGCCTCACGTTCTTCACCGACGCCGCGGGTGGTGCGAAGAGAAACGTCTGCTGAGGCACCTGGCGGAAGGCTTCAAGATCAGTCAGACCGTTACAGTAACACGTATATCATATCTGCTCACCTGCGCCTTCCTGCGGGGTGGGCTGTGAAACCCAATCCACAAGCAACTGCCAGCTCCAGTTCTGGTCAGAGGGGTCCCACTGGTTCTACGAGCACAAACCTTCGGCTACACTTCCACATGCCCAAAGAACCTTACGCTGGAACTACCCCCAGAGCCCAGCTGCTTGTCTTGGGGGAAAATGGATAATGAGGGCTCCAAAAGGGGCTTTACAACAGTTTTACAACCCAAAGCTGAGCTCATGGCCCAAACGTGTGCTCTCAAAGCCCTAAACCCTGAAGCCTACGACTGACCCCAAACCGGCAGCCAGAAAAATCCTGAACCGGTAACCTTATCAGACCCTTGTGAAGTGCTTAAGCAACCCTGCAAAAAATCCCTATGATACTCGATTGAAAACCCTGCTTATAAACAGAAGGAACTCACCTCCGCGGACTCCGTCACATCGACCTCCACTTTGGGAGCTTTGCCCGGTGGCTCGTCCTGTGCTTCGTTTTTTAGGGTTTAGGTCTAGGAAAAATGCAAGCGTAAAGCGGGTTTATGTAGGGTGTGGGCTTCCATAAAGAACCCTTGAAAGGTTGAAGACTGCTCCGGATTGGCGATTCGGGCTTTACGCGGGATTTAAAATCTTTTCGGGTGTTGGGGTTTGTTTGGGCGATTAGGGCTTCAGGGTTGAGAGTTTTGGGGTTCTCGGATGTAGTGCTTTAGATTTTTGTTTGTCTTTTTTTGGGGGCTCCTTCAGGGTTTAGGTTTGGGGGTTTTTGTGCGGCACTTTTCTTCTCAGCTTCGCAGCCGCTTCGGAGGGTTCAGGGTTGAGGGTGTAGGGGCTTAGGGCTTTAGGTTGAAGTTCTGGCTCGGAGTCTAAACCTGAGGCGGCTCCGGATTCTATGTTTCGAGCTTGAAAGACCCCTTGCATGAAGCTTCGGGACTCACTCAAGGTTATCTCTCCCTCTCTCTCTCCCTTCTCTCTCTAGATCCGGTTACAAAGATCATGATGCAAGTATGGTAAGTAGACGCTCATCCACTCCACGACGCTGCTCCGTTCGCTGATAGGTCCGCATACACGCCTGGTTCTCCAGCACTTCATCTTAACCCGAAAGCCTGAACTCCACAACCCCAACCCTTAAACCATGAATTCGCCGGCATGAGGACCAGAAAGACGACTGTCTATACAAGCCCCACAGTCTGAACCGCAAGAGCTGCACAAAAAAGAGCCGTTAGGAGGCCTCCGCTGAGACCATCAACATCCGCTCCCTTGCTTTGGGGAGCGGCGGACCTCGAGGCGCTCGGCTTGGGGGCTTCGGGAGTTCGGAGGCTAAAATCTATGTTTTTCGGGTTGGGGGTACAGGAATTAGGGGTTTCGGGCTGAGGATTTAAATGGATTGAGGGTTCGGGGTTGAACCCTGAGGTTCAGGGTCCGGGGATTCAAGGTTTTGGATCTTCGACTTTTGGCTGCTCTAGCAGGCCACACAAATTTGGGATTACTCTCGCGCACGTTTAAAAACTAATCCTCGGAAGGCGGCAAAGATGCAGCCAACACTCGGCTACACTTGGGGGGCTTCCCAATAGTAGGGATACCCTACTTTATGATAAAGATCCTACTGTTCAGACGCGCCAACATGTCTGAGAGTCAGGCTGGACAAAGTGGGCTGGGGATCATGCGGTTAGTTCCAGGGCTCAGGCTCGCAGATTTGGGCTAAGCTTTGAGACCCGAAACAAACCTCGCTCCTAAATCGTACATCCTGAGCTCCACACAGGGCGGGCACTTAACCGGCTCCGGTGCTCCTCCGATACGTTGTTTTTTTTGAGTTTTGCAGGGCTCGAAGGTATGACAAGGGCTTGCTGGGGATATAAGTTCGCGAATGTTCCAGGCCTAAGTGAAACCTGGAAGTAGACTACTGTTATGACTTAGCGAACCCCAAAAACCAATATCTTTCAACTAACTTCAGTCCCGTTCAAAAGCCCCACCGCAATTGGGAGTCTGGAGTTTTGCTTTGGCTCTGCTGTTCAGATCTCCAGGCCTTAAGGTCTGGGATGTAAGGTTCAGGGTTCTCGGGTCACAAACACCCCCACTACGTTTCAGGGTTTAGGGTTTAGGGTTTAGGGTTTAGGGTTTAGGGTTTAGGGTTTAGGGCGGCACCCTGATCGCCAAAATCTTGTGGACTCTTGGGTTCCGAACTACGGTGCGATCAAGCAAGACCTGCCCTTTGGGGTATTTGGAACAAGCCTTATTTGAACATGGTCTTTCAAGACGAGCGCCAAAATTGGAATTCAAATCGAGATCCGAAATCGAAACTTAATACCCGCCCTAAACCGAAACACAAACCTAAGTTTCCACAAGACAAGGACCATGTGATTGTAACAAGACTTATGGAAGCAATACCGTATGCAGGAAACAGCAATCATCGACATTAGTATTTCATGAACTTGTATCTGTGCTAGCACTAGAACGCACTAGGCAGTACGAGTTCTCGCGCGAACACAAGTACTAGCATTCATGTCAGTAGTGAAGAAAGTGGGGTTTAAAAATGTAGTTGTACTAGCAGCAGCAGCAGCAGCAGCAGCAGCAGCAGCAGTAGCAGCAGCAGCAGCAGCAGCAGCAGCAGCAGCAGCAGCAGAAGCACCAGGAGCAGCACCAGGAGCAGCACCAGGAGCAGTAGCAGTAGCAGCAGCAGTAGAAGCGGCAGAAGGAGTAGGAGTACTACTACTTCTACTACTTCTACTACTACTGGTAGCAGAATTCTCATGAGACTTCAGGCTATTGGCACACAACTCCAAAAACCATTGCCTACCGTACCTTTGCGAGCAGTGCTCTTCTTTTGCCGAGCAACCCATGGGGCCACCGGGCCCATAGTAACCACCATCCCCACCCATCTCAGCCTCAGCCTCCTGCTTGGGACCAAAACACGGCTTCAGGTTGCTGCTTGAGGGTTAGGTCAGGGCTGTAGTTCTGGGGTTTAGATTTGTTCTTGAGGAGGGCTGGTGTTTTGGGGTGTTTGGCTTGTTGCCGTTTTGGAGGGCATGGTTTGGAAGACGGTAGATTTATGCGAGGGTCACTGTCGTTGCACTCACAAGCCCGAAAACCCCATCCCAAACGCTGAAGGCATCACGAGTTTGGCGAACCAGCCCAGGCTTGCTGAGAGCTTTGAGTTTAGGCTCTCAAACCTGCCCTTCCCTCACAAGGCTCCTGGACCTCTGGTGGTGGGGCGGGCGGCGGGGACACGATCTGCCCTGCAGAACGGGCTCAAGTTCAATGTTAGGCTTGCATGATCCGTAAGCAGCGCTGCCGTAGGGCAATATACAGGCCTTGATAATTAGAATAGGGTTTTGGGGCCCATCATACTTTACTACAATTATAACAAGGAACACCCAAAATAGCATCAGGAATGATTTAGGCCTCTATATTATAAGATCGCCCGTTCATGCGTGGCCCTGCCCAAACAAGCAGAACTCGGGCTTTAAGTCTCTTGAACTTGGTTCCAGCGGCCCTATGCTTTGCACCCCACTCACTAAACTCTAAAGGGCTTAGGGCTACGATAAGTTAAGGGCTACTATAATGGCCATAGCGGGTTACTATAAGGGTTACTATAAAGGTACGACAAGGGTTACTATAAGGCTTTGGGGTTTAAGGATGCAACCCCACAGCTGCAACCTACGTGGCACAGATAAAAAACCGCGTCTCCCCAAACAGAACGCAGTGCCCAGACTTGCTGAGGGCAATGCAAAGCCCAGTTATCCTAGAGGGCGTAGTGCTTAGGGTTTAGGGCTTACAGCTCAGGGCTTCCAGCGTGGGTGTATGTCGAACCAGGGGACCCGGTTGTCATAATGGTTTTTTGTGTTGGCGAACGGAGGGTATCAAGATCGAAACACGCAGAACTTAGGGTGCTGGGATGCTACACTACACGCGTCCTTTGTGGATTAATCGAGTGATTACTTACCAAGGCCCTCCGTCTTCATGGAAGTTGAACGGGATGAGAGCCCAGAGACTTCAAAAATCCCTAAATTGAGGAATATTGTACCTTGCATTACATCATGATAAGGATATTGCTATAATGAAAGCTAGCGTTTCTGAGTCTCTGCGGCTTTTACGTTCGAGGGTTCAGTTCTCTTCTAGTTCTCTCGATCCCCATCCCCTTTTCTTCAGGATTTGAGGGTTTGAGCGGGCTTTGGGTGCAAGGTTCGTGGGTTGGCGCAGGCTGTTCACGACAATCTACCAAGGCTGCAGTTTCATGGTTCACTCGACATCGCCCTTGCGCTGCAGCCCCAGCGTAAGCAGCCCTAGCTTTGAACCTAAAATCATGCTGAACTCGTTTGCCATCAGCTGCGGGAAAACGCTCGAGACCCCAAGTTCTAAACCCTGAACTCTAAGCTCTGAATCTGGAAACTGAAACCCTGATCCCCAAAATCCAAGAGCCCATACAGAGGAGGTCGCAGTGCTCGGTAATCATATCCCCTGATAGTCCCCATATGCCCATATCATGTAACATACACCTCGGCACCCTAGTCAAATTGGTTCATAAGGTCAGAAAAAGGCCTCCATTCTCTTTCATCTGCTTCGCTTCCTCGGGCGTCTCCTGCAGGAGGATTCGCCACGCGTGTGTGGGCTTTCCAGGGCTTTGCAAGGTGAAGCGCCGTGTAGGGTTTGGGAAGCGCTAGAAGGCCAATATTAGGGGACTTATAACCCCACTTATAACTACCAATGAACTTCCAAGTATGGCTTTGGGGGTTCTGCGTGTGTGGATTGTAGGGTTGGAAAACTTTCGGTGTAAGTGCTTGGGGTGGTAGGTAGCAGCAGGACTTCAAGTTTTGGCGTTTCAGGGCGTAGCACCCTGTAAAGCCCTCATTGAAAGACTTAAAGCCTGAAAGCCTGAATTTGTAGAACCTTCACCCCAAGCTCACGGCCAAGATACCTGCGATCCTGCATCCCGTCCGTCCCGGGACCGAATGCCTGACACCTTATACCCTGAACCTCAAAAGCTAAGCAGATCCAAACACGAAAACTCTAAAAGCCCACAAACTCAATCCTCTATACCACAAAAATGGAGGGACCTCCTTGACCTCCTCCACCTCTTCTTTGCCGCCTTCCTGGCACATGCAGGATTGCGGCTGGCTTCCGAGATCCTGGCTTAAGCTGAGGGCTTAGGTTTAGGGCTTTAAAACAAGTGCTACGAGGGTTCTCTAAGGTTTCACAAGCGTTCTATGAAGTTCTATGAACCTGGAAGTCCTTGGTAGCGATGCTGCCGAACAGTTTTTTGGGGGATTTCTTTTCCAAAAGTCATACGAAGTCACAGTAAAATTAAATCGCAGTGACAAGTCATGATAAGCATGGTCATAGACACAGTGCCCTAAACCGCTCTACAACCCTTTTAGAAACTTCAGAACGGCTACAAAACCCTGATAGTCATCTCTGGCCTCTTCCTTCACCACCTCGATCTCTTTCTCCCCAGCCGGACCCACGATCTCGCGCGTAACCGTCTCGCCGGGGGTGATTTCCTCCTCGGGCTTGCCTGGCTTGGCTTGGGGGAGAGGATGAAGGGTCTAGGACCTGGTTTAGGGTTTTGGGTTTAAGGGGGGAAGGAGTGGGGTTCGGGACTCAGCATGTTTTGGGTACGTGGGTCTCCTAGCATGGGGAGTAGTGCTCGCATAACTAGTAGTACAAAGCGGCCCCGATGCTGCTATGGCGATGCTACGAGCAGTAGCGTTGCTTCATCACTGTTACTGCTGGTACTTTATTGTGGCTACCATCACCTCCTGCTGTCCTTAGCATTGCTTTTCATAGAAGTCGTAGGAGTTGGGAGGTTACGCGATGCAGTGCTGGGGTTCAAGGCGGCTTCGGGTCGGAATCGAAGCAAGTTGAAAAGTTCCAAGCACTTGAGGCTTGAAGAGTCCAAGTCGATGGGCTGAGGATCGCTTGGTTCACTTCACTTTGCACTTCCTGCTTCACTTGCTGGCTTCAAGTTCAGGGTGAAGCGTTAAATTCTTCTGAGTTTAGGTTGAGCTGTCAAACTGCCTCCTATATACATCCGAGCAACAAGCCACTAGCATAGCACAAGCCTCGTAGTCCTAACAACCCCACACCTTCTCAAGCCTTGAAGGACCTGAGCGACTTCTGAGTCGCCGTCCTTTCCCCTCCTCGATCTGGATCTTCTCCAACTCCTGGAAGCTTGGAGGGGCTGACAGGGGCAGGGGGGCAAGCTTCCTGGGGCTTCTGTACGGGCTGTGGGGGTTTGAGGCTCGGAATTCTCAATGTGAATTTCCGCCCCCTGAGCCCCAAAACCGAATTGCCAAACCCCAGGCACAGAAGATCAAAATGCTTAACGAGACGAAGCCAACACAGCGTCCAGCGAGACGCTAAACTCCAATCGCAAATCCAATGATGTTGAACCCGACACCTACGAGCAAAGCTCCAATGCATCCAGCATTGACTCACTTGAGCCTGGAGCGTTTAGAGCGAATCCTTTCTTGTAAGCTCAAAGCTTGACGCGGGGCTGTCACTACGACTAAGACGAGAGTCTCCCACATTGGGGGCATGATGTCCTACAACCAATCCCGAAGCCCCAAACCCTTCGCCCAGAGCTCAAAGCTCTCTCATGGCCGTCGGACGTCACTCGGAAAGCTTCCAATCTTACGAAGCCTTTTTCAGAACCCAGCAACGACACCCTACACCCTGAACCTAAACGATCAACTTGTAAATTGTAGACCCTATCTGGACCTACCTTCTTAAGGCCTTCTCTTTCAGGAACTCCGTGACAAGTACCCCCAAAAGCAGGCTTTTTGGGGTCCTACACTACACCCTCAACCCTAAACCCTCACCCTAAAACCCTAAACTGTAAACACGAAACCCTAAACCCAAAAGCCCACAGGTCCTTGAGAAGCTCCAGCTTTTCCTCTGCCAGCGGTTCCAGTCGTGAGGGGATTTGGTGGCTTACTGTTTTGGGATGCTTTAGGGCTTTGGGGGTTTAGGGTTTAGGGTTTTGGGTTTTCGGTGATTCAATTTACGGCTGTGTTTGTCGTATGCTTTGTGATACGGATACAGAAAGGTTCCTTGTTGTGGTACAGGTCTTTGTTGGGTCGCTTGAAGGCTCTATATATATATATATATATATATATAGGGGTTGGGGGTGTTTAAGGTTGAGGCCTTGCGACTTTCGGATTAGGATGGGTTTGAAACCTCCCGTTTCGTGTCCACAACTCTGTAGACCCGATGGGTTTTGAAAGTTTGGCAAGTCACAAGAGCTTGACGCCTATGCCAGCTCGGGTAGAGTATCTATCTATCCGTCTATCTACCTACGTACTGTGCGTGTATACTGTATACAATGTACATATGCATGTGTTTACAAAGCCCTACCGAAGGGTTCCTTCACGAGCTGCTCGGTCTTGTCGGAGACGGCATCCTGAAGCACAGAGGCACCGAAAGTCGACTGGTACAGTACCCACCCTTCGCGTTGAGGGATAAGGGATGGTTACACACTATCATTCATTTAACTGGCACCGATTACTCTCAAGTGTGACTACTGACCACTGCCATACAGCCACAACTATACCTATGACTACTAAATTTACTAAATGAGGAGTTGCTACATGTAGAACCCATACGACTAGTCCTGCGGCGAATTCTACTCTTGCAAGATTAAGCCGTACATGATATCGACAGTTATGACAATTCAAAGACAGGAAGCAAGACCTTCCTACTTCCCACCCTCCCAGTCCAATCCAAGTCCATGGTATAGGGTCGTTGCGCGAGAGGGGACGGGAGGTGCTGATTCCAGGGCTTGGCATCCAGCATTGCGGGTTTAGTTTTAGTGGGTTAATTCCCAAAACTCAACGTCCACAGCCTTGAAGCCAAAAACCAAAGTCTTCTGCTGCAGCAGACAGCTTTTGGCAGATCGTTCAGGGACCTAAAACCCGAGAACCCGTTCCCAGGAACGTGAACCTCGCAAGATATGCATCCCAAACTTCTATCCTCAACCCCAAAATCAAAACCTCCGAAACCCCAAACACCCTACAACCAAATCCGAAATTCCCTAAAGCTGCAAAACCAAACCTTTAACCCGTCACACCCTTTAAAATGCATTGCGAATACAGTTGGTACGACTGCGTATATTGCGATTGTTGTTGCGGAACCCCTCACTGATGCTACAGGTGTCAGCAGGCACCACAGCCCCGGGAAAATCATGTAAAAAAGGCTCACGTACAAGTTCTATAAGGCTTATCTACAAGGGGGTTGCATAAGAGCCTTACAAAGTTCATATGGTGGGTTTTAGTGTTTCGTTCGGGGGCCTGCAATAACTCTGTCGAATCCTGCGAAACTCCATAGGTTTAGAGTTGCGGCTTTAGGGCTGAAGTCAAGGGAGCTAGAGCAAGAGTCTATGTCGGGAAGCATCACAGATCTGTCTAAGACAATGTGGCCGCGGTAAGCATCGCCGAAATCACCTTCACATCCGCCATGACCCCACGACACCATCGCCACCATCAGGGCCAGCGTCGCATCTCCGAGCCGCCATCATTATCACAACAAGATTTGGAATCCTTGTTCTTATAAGTAAGCTTATCCCTGGCATTGACGGTATGTGACATTCGCAGTGATTTTGAACTTCGCCTACACCCTAAACGTTCCGGGGAAAGAAAGACTTCGGGCCTGCTGCATGCCGACCTCACGGCTCTGGAGCGCCGCTTTCTCCTGGCGGGTATTGCTGGTGAGCAGATGGCGATTCTGAAGACGACCATCGTGTTCCTAGTCCTGCGACGACAAAGCTGCAACGACACAAGAATGCAACAGTCGAGGACCAACAAACAGAATAACGTGGCTTGGCCAGTGATCTTTGGGTAGGCAAAAAGATTGCTCTTCCAAATTGCATCGCGGGTTGGATGCCCAAGATCCATCTTCGGTTGGATGCACTAGATGAAGGCTGGGTCGGGCCACATGCCTTAATTTTGTTGGGTACCCTCGATCTCCTGCGTCGGGGTGAGGATGGCAGTGTTCCCCATATCCTGGCAGCCAGAGGTCTGTTGCGCAAGGGCTGAGGCTTATGATTGAGGCTTACGGCCTAGGGCCTTTTGTCGAGCTTGTGGGTGTTGCCCAAGACCATGAATTGTCAGGACAATCATAGATACTATGAAATGCATCACGTGCCGATGATGATCATCCTGATCGTCCTGATGATGATGATGATGATGATGATGATGATGATGCTGATGGTGATGATAGCGATGGTGATGGTGATGGTGGCGGCAGTGGTGTTGACGGTGGTGATGGACGGGGGATGATCATTATGGTGATGGTGATGAAGAGGAAGATGATGACGATGACGATGGCGATGACGATGACGATGACGATGATGATGTTGATGTTGATGTTGATGTTGATGTTGATGATGATGATGATGATGATGATGATGATGATAATGATGCTGGTGATGATGACGATGTTGATGATGATGTTGATGGGTGATGATGATGATGATGATGATGATGGTGATGATAGTGATGATGATGACGATGATGATGATGACGACAACGACGACGACGATTACGACGACGACCTTGTTAGATCAGTCTTGTTATCAGAATCAGTCATGCAGGGACCGGTACCGCATGGCCTTCCGGTGCTGCTCCTCCTGCTCGGCAAGGGCCCTCTCCTGTGACCGCTGCTCCTGCACGAGGGTTCAGGCTTGGGGGCCCAAGCTTCAGGGTTAGGGTTCTGCGCTTAGGGCTCAGAGCTTGCATCTTTTGGACAGGGCTTAGATCAAAGGCCTATGAAGCTTGTGGACAGTGTGGAAAGCTTGCTCCCAAATCCCTACACGCCTAAACACAAACACCAAAACATTCAGAAATCCTCAAGATCGGAATCGGAACAATCATTAGAATAGGGCTTCACTTCGGGGTTGAATGTTATATGCGTTGAACAAACGACTACTGAGGAAACCCTAAGGAATAGTTTGCGTAACCCCCCCGAAGCCCGGATACTCCAAAGAGGTGACCCCGGGGCATCCTCTGCTCTTCCCTAAATAAGAATTATACCTTATGGTCTCTCATTACATGGGTTTAGGGCTTGAGGCCTAGGGTTTCGGGAACATATACTAAAGCCATATTCTAATTATCAAGGCCCGCCCTGCTTCGCAAACCTATCTGGGGGCTCAGGGTTTGTGGCTTTGGGGTTTACAGTTTACAGTGCAGCGCTTTGGGATTTCGGGTTGGGGTTTAGGCCGCTTAGGATTCAGTCTTAAGGGCTCCATCCGGCTTATCGCTTAGTATGGGGTTTCGGCTGTTGGGATATTAAGTTTGCGCATGGTTGGCAGCAATAGCACTGCCGATGACGGCAGGACACGCACGACTATCGCGGTCATCATCACGGGTCATCAGCGTTGCGGTAATTTTTAGCGACCTGCGTTTTCCAAGATAGTATTGTTGTTGCGGGCATCTTCATTCGTGCAAGCATACTCTTGAACTCCAGACCCAAAATCCCAAAGCCCAAAACACCGAACCGCCAAAAGGAATACCTCCGAGGTTGAGTCTATGATGCAATGCTCAACTGCATCTCCAGAGACTTCTGGGATCGGTGCGTTTGGGGCATCATGGCTTGAGGCTTTGGCACTTCTGACTTGACGGCGATAGGCTCTGGAGGGTTTTCGGGTTTAGGATTTTACGGTCTTGGATTGAGAGTTGACAATACTCGCGGGACCCCATGAAACCGTATCTCGGCCCGCGGAAAGCCTCGATCTGGCGATCAAGCTCCTCTGGCGTTTAGGGTTCAAGGCTTCCGGGGGTTTGGCATGGCCTGAAGGCGTTGTCGGGAAGTGGTGCTTTGAAGGCGTTTCAAGCGTAAAGATTGCTGGGACAGCAAGCAAGTGGGGGTTGGGAATTCGGATTTAAGGCCAAGCTTGGGGAGCAGAGACCTGCGGGTCTTCCTGAATTTGGACCGACAGTTCATAGGATCCAGGTAGGAAGGCGGGTAAAGCATATCCGCATGGGAAACCAAGCTTATGTTGAGCCAAAGCACGGCCGGAGTACTCACTGTCATGCTTGTAGGTCTCCAACAAACCCTGCAAGAGAAGTTCAACTATGGTTCTCCCGAAAGCCTCACATCACCAGAAAGCAAGCAAGCCGCGAACTCCTCGACCCGAAGCTCCTCAAGCCCATAAAACTTTATGTAAAGCCTGCACCAACTCCTGAAACTAACCCATACAGCCCTGAAACACCTTTCAAAAACTAACAAACAATAATTAAATAAACTGTATCAACCCTATACCAACACCAAAACAGCCCCATACACATAAAACTATACAAACCCTCTAACCCCGCCTTGATCTTCAGTTCCAGCTGAGCCTTCCTCTGAAGCTTCGCAGCATTCCCGTTGTCGGCACCAGGCGCCCCGTTGGCGCCCTGACGCGAGCCGAAGAGGGTCTAGGCGTTTGGGGTTGGGGCTTAGGGTTTAGGGGTTTAGGGTCTAGGGTTTAGGGGTTTGGGGCTTAGGCTCTAAATTGACGTTTTGGATGTTGGGACTTCGGGGACTGCGGTGTAGATGTTTCGGTAACACTAGAAATGGGAAACCGGGTTTGTCAGTGCGGTTAGGGTTTAAGACTGAGGTGGCATAGTTGCGCGAAATTCCTGCAGCCAACCTTGACCTAAGCCCGTAACCCAAAGAGCAAAAGGCCACAAAGTCAAAAGCATAAAGGGAAAACCTAGAACCCCTGAGAGAACCCTTTTAGAACCCTTCTTGTAACCCTTGTATAACACTGGACCAGGCCCAGCGGCCAGGAAACTGAACAGTTTCAGAAAGCCCTCAAAATGCGAAGCCTCGAAGCTCGTGGATGCGTCGCCGTACTTGGAGCGCGCATGATCCGGCGCCTGCAGGCGAGCGCATGTTGTGTGCTTCCGCTATTTAAAGCCCTTGAATAATTTATAGATCTTGTAGAGGGTGCGAAGAGAGAGGTCCTTTGGAGCTCAGTGGGGTGGATGGTCAAGAATTTAAGCCCTGAAATGCTGGGCCGTGCCAGGGCTTCGGCTTTCGCAAGTTTGCAGGGAGGCGCTGCCTTGACTTGGGATCTGTGGTTCAAGATTTTGATGGCTTAAGTTTAGGGGTAGCTTGTTTCAGGGTCCTTCTCCACACAGCTGTGGTTCCAAGATCTGAAAACTGTGCTCAAACCGGGTTTGGGGTTTAGGACTCCAGCTCCTGTTTTGTAGAATTTGTGGATGTTTGCGGATGTCGTTGAGCCTTCAAGAACACCTTGGACACATCAGCGCAAAGCTGCCAACACCAAAACATGCTTGCCTTTCAATGGTGCGCAAGAGGAAAGTCAAGTCTTAGTTTAGGGTTCAGGGGTTTGGGGCTTAGGTAACATTAAAACCGCTGAGGTTTCAACCAGTACCTTCAAACTCTGAGCGCAGGCCTCTGCAGTGTGAACTTTTCAAACAAAGCTCACACACATGTTAAGACCAAGAACCATACTTCAGTATTGAGTCCTGGCAGTCTACACCCTTCTATCCTGCAGGGCATCGCGAAGCTTATCCATCAACACCATCACCACGAATATCAGCTACAGGCCCTAAGTAGTCGGACTCCTGAAAAGGACCTGTTATCGTGCCCACACTGTTCACTATCAGAGCTTCCATTTTACCGGGTTTACGGGTTACGGTGCAAAACTTCCAATCAATTTTTTCAAGGGTGTTAACAGTTAACCCTTAAACGCACCCTAACAGCTTACGGCTGCAGGCCTTAAAACCCCACAAACCCTAAACAACCCTAAACCCTGCCTGCGGCAGACCTACCCGTTTAAGGAACTATATATAGAACCATAATTAAAACCCCAAACAGGTAGGTCCTTCGGCTACAGCTGGAGCTTAAGGCTTCAGGGGTACCGACCCTAAATCCTAAACGCTAAACCCTGAACCCTGAACCCTGAACCCTAAACCCTTTCAGGGTTACCGGCTCCTCCATGCTGCGGCGCCCCCGCGCGGCCACGAAGCCAGCTTCCATGGGCTCTGGCCTTGAGGTGAGTTGAGGGTTGAAGATTTAACGAATAGGGCAGGTCCTTGGGGTATCTTATGCATGGTTCTGTCGTTATGCCATGGTTCTGTGCGGACTACATCAGTCGGGAGTCGGGGCATCCGACATTAAGGCCCTTCATAAAAGGGTCTTTCAGGGATCTACACCCAAGAACGATGAGCCCTAGAGACCGCCCTGCAGCAGGGAAAGCCTGGACCCTAGTCTGGTCTGAGGGGGGAAAAGGAGGAATAGTGCTCACGACGAGGCACGGTTTAGGGATTTGGCATTGAGGGAGCTAGGGAAAGTACACAGAAATTCCATGAACTTGCAAAATACGCAAGGAAAACCGGCTCAGGGCAATTTGTCAAAGACGAACAAAACACCGTTTTGGCAACAGCTCTGGAAGAGAAAGCTGCGAAGCAACGGCTGAGGCACAAGATTCTAATGACTCGTCTGCTAAGCACAAACGCTGGACCCGGAATGTAAAACTCCAAGCCCTGACCACAAAACCCTAGCGCCCATGGGAAACTTCTTACTTCCTGCCTCCAGCGCCGCCTGGGCGACATGTGGCCGCGAGGGCGACGGCCCCTTAAGAGGCTTGGAGCTCTCTCACGCAAGTTTGGGAGCTTCGGGTGATAGAATTGCAGGTTTAACGCGGCTGGCTATTTCCAGCAAACCTTCGTAACGGTTTCGTCGCACGCAACTCGCCCAGGATCCTGTGAATGCAATGATGTCATCGAAGACCATCTTGCGGTCCAGACACTCTGACACAGCACGCCGCCGGCTGTGGGGCCTATGTCGGTGCCGGTCCGGGGAGGGGCGCCGGCCGTGGCTCTGCGGGTGGCCATGGCGCCGTGAGCCCTGCAGGCTGTGACTGCGGTGGGCAGCTCGGTGTGGATTTCGGTAATGCCTGCGGTGTGCACCACCCTGGTGGCCATAAAGGGAGGGGCTGTGCAGGCGGCGGTGGCCACGGTGCTGCCTGAGTTGAACAGACTAAGGCAGACCCCACCAGCTTTACGGAATGCGCATGCACCAACCAAGGCTTCTACAAGATTGTGGCCTCGACAAACACAGAATGTGATACAGCGACACAGTGGCTGCCCGAAAGAGCCAGCCCTATTGTCTCAAAGCATGAAACTCAAAATGATGAGCCCAAGCGTCGCCACAGCATGGCCATGGTGCTGCGAGTGGCCTGTCAAGGGCTAGAGCCTAGGGACTTACGGTATCGGGTGCAGCTTCAGGTTTTGCATGGTTGAACGTCATGGAAATTGCGGAAGGTTTCGCAGGTGGTGTATACAAGGGTCCCATTATTGATGTTCTTATGTCAATGTGCTGACTACATGTCTCCTCCATTCTTACTAGATTCCCCCGCTAAATCCTGTATTTGTACTGAGTTTGCCACCACGGTGGGTGTTATCTGCCTTCAGACTCTGGTCAATTATCATTACTGGTATTGCGGCTACTATTAATATGATGACAAAGCCTACAGTCTTTCCGGTGCCTAGTCCTTCATCGCTGCACAAGAATTAGTAGTCCTCCTTCTCCTGCTCCTCCTCCTCCTCCTCCTTGTGCCCTGCCCTGCTTATACTATCACGTTGGCTCCCTTGCTTGGTTCTCTTCTAGTATCTTCTAGTCAAGGTTCAACGGAGACTATAACTTCTGGTCATGCCGGAGATATGCCAACATTAACATGGGCAGTGGCCTTGCAGAAAGCTGAGCGCATGCTGAGCCGTCTGGCGCCGAACACCAGGAAGAAGACCTACGCAGCGAAAAGATCGGAAGAGGGATTCTGGATTCTGGCCTGGCCGAGTCTGCCCACAGTTCTTGGGGGGTTTGGAGGCGACAGAAACCCAGAAACTACATGTCAATGTAACCCTGATGACCAACGTCTGTCAATTGCTGGCCTGCACAGGGATCTGCCATATCAGAACCGTAAACCGCAAAAAGCATCCACATAGCTGCATCCTATATAGTATTCAATAACCGGACGATGCTGTAAGGAGGTATTTCGAAAGCCAACATGAACCCTAAAGTGTGGACAAGCCAACACCCCGCATCCGGGAACCGGCCTCCAAGGCCCTCCGCCACCTCAGGAGCTCCCAAGACAAGGAAAGCTGAGGTGCATCAGGCTTAGGCTTTAGGTTTTAGGGTTTAGGGTTTAGGGTTTATGACTCACGACCATGAAACAAGGTGCACGACAGTGCGAGCGAGAACGTGCGCAGCGCTTCACTACTGGCGCTGGCGATGGTCGGGAGGAGCGAGAGATCAAGACGTCGCAGTAGTCGCCCTCACGCCTCTTCTTGACATAGACATAGTAGACTTGATAGAGACGGTGCAATACTAGGACGCCTACCAAGCCGACGATGGCGGCGACGACGACTCCCACTGCAAAGACTACTAGGACGACTACTACTACTACGACGACTACGACTACCACTACTACCATGTCTTGGACCCCATATCCATCCCAACCCCAGGATTCTCAACCAAGCACGAACCCTCCTCCCTCATCCTACAGGCATGAGCCTTCATCCCCATCAAGATGCATCTAAAACCCGAACCACGGGCCCAAAGTCCCAACCTCAACCATGCGGCTCACCCTGAAACCCTATTTGCGAAACCATGTGCTCAAAGTCACACCTTGGGCTTTGCCCAGACTGTAGAGGGGATTTGTGTGACTTCAGGAATTCGGAATCTTGCTATTGCTGTGCCCAAAAGCTCGGCGGGGCCTCCATAAAGCCAGAGGCCCAAATCACGAACTCGAGTACCCAAACCCGAAACTCCAATGACCCCAATCCCTCTGAGCCTAAACCCTGATCCCTATAACCCCTGATCGCTGAACGCCCGAAGTTAGGGCGGGCTGCCAGGAGCTTCACCTCTGCCTTCGGGAGGCTTCGAAAGCCTTGCAGAGAGCCTCGGCTGTTCTGGGGACTGGGTGTGAATATGAGGGTCTACTGACTAGAATAGGGATCTTGTGCTAGAACACTTAGGGTTGTAGAAGCCTGAGCAATCCAGAAAAGCCTTAACAACCTAGAATGGGGCTTTGCAGTATAGTATACCAGAGCTATAGTCAGGAACCCTAACGAACCCATATAGTACCTCAGAAAACCTCAAACAGAGATAAGATCGATGCCTGGATGGTTTATAATCCCATTCACTAGCCTTCGTCAGTATGCTCCACATGTTCTACCCGAAACCCTACCATAATTTGATTATGAAAGCCTCAATGTTTTCGGTTCCTCACTCCAAAACCGAGCCGCCCTCCAGGAAGTGGGCCAGGAGAGCATCATCCGGATCGTGATCCAGGAGGACCATAGCTTGCAAATCGGGTTTGGGGGTTCAGGTTTCTTTCTGTCCATATAACGTAAATCTTATATTATGCAATATACGATATATATATATATATATATATGTATATATATATAATGTGTAACATGCAATACATCATATATAGTATATAGTTTGTAATACCTGGGTTCCTGTCCGAGACAGCCTCGGCCCGAGGGCACTGCACTTAAAGTGGACTCCTTCAGAAGGCCTGAAAATGCGTCAGTCCGCCGAGGCTCCAAACGATGATCAAGTACCTTATCGCCTTGCTGCCTTCCAACCTACTTTGCAAGAAACAAACTACCCCAGCTTGAGGTCGAACTTGAGCAGGCCACAAGCAGCTCTATCACATGCCAAGCCCTTCTCATCCAGAAGGCCCGGGCCACACAAGCTTGGACTTTGAAACCCCAGAGGGGTCCGAGGAAGGCCCTTGGAAGCTCCCAGCCTCTCTCTCAGTGTCTCTTGCTTCTTTTTTTCCTATCCTCGCAACTGCACTTCTGACACAGAAAGACCGACGGACAGACATAGCGACAGAGAGACAAACAGGCAGACGGACGGACGAAAAACCAGGTAGAGCGGATTAGATACGAACGTACATGCGGAACCACATTTAGAACGATCGCCTTTTCGAAAGATAGACAGTCGGATAGAACAAATGGAAAGATCGATTGACAAACAGGAATAACAAAACCATGCATGGGTCTACGCCTGAGGTGATGATAGTCACCAGGAGGAGGAGGAGGAGGTTTCAGTTGCCGATTCATTTGACAATTGCTCTCATTTTCGGCATGTGGATTTCTACTATCTTTATCTTTGTTGTAATTACGACTGCTGCCTGTAGTACAGGTGGCTGCCGTTGCCGTCGGACGGAATTTCGCACTGACCGCAACCTCTATCTTCTGCAATTACTTCTTGTTTTGGCATGCTTTCTCTTATTGCGACTACTACTGCTTAGTGCTCCTTCCTACTGCTTGCTACCTGCTTACTGCTGCCTGCCTTCGCTGCTGCTATGCAGAAACTTTGCTGGGCCCTCAAACACCAGAGAAGCGGCTCTAAATCCTCAACCTTACACTCTAAACCCTGAATCCCTTCAACCCAGAAATCTAAGCCGTAAACCCGACACCGGCTATCGATATCTTTCGTGATGCATGAGCCTCCGTGGCAGACCTCACTCCTTCTTCTTGCTGTCCTCCGGCCACTTCTGGCTTAGGGTTTAACGTTTTGGGATTTCGGCGGTAAGGCTTTAGGGGGTTTTAGGTTTTGAGGCTTTAACGTTTCACGTGATAAAGCGAAATCCCTGACAGCAACGATGGTGAGAGCAGACGCGCTGACATCATGGTCCTCAAACTTCAAACGAAGCTTCCAAATACTCGAGGCACATTAATTAGGCTGCGTTCGGTACTTACTGGTAGTAGTCGTACAAAAGCTATGTAGGGGTTACAAGGATTCCTCTAAACCCAAACCCCAAAAGCTATGTAGGGGTTACAAGGATTCCTCTAAACCCAAACCCCAGGCCCGTAAACCCTAAGGCCCTGTTCCTAGCCAGACCAGACTTCGGAGTAGGCGAGGAGGTCTCGGGTTTAGGAATTAGGGTTTGGGGTTTAGGCCTTCAGATGTAGGCTTTAAGGGCCAGGGCTTAAGATGGTGTAAGCATGAGCGGCAGAATGCAACAGAAATGCTTCTAAATCTGAGGCATGTAACGGTCACCAGAGAAGAAGTCTCCACCCCAAGCCTCCAACTCGAAGCATAAACGATACACAGCGAAACCCGCCCTTTCGAGTTTCAGGATTTGAGGGTCAGGGCATCTACCCTGGACTCGTGGAAGGGCTCCGTCCTGCGGCAGCTTCGTGGCTGCTGGGCACTGCGAGTACGCGAACACGCCCCCTGAGTGTCGAGCTTGGTGCGGATACAAGGCCAGTTTAGGGTTGCAGGCAACCTCCTCTAGCCAACATGCTGCAGCCCAATATCCCATGGGACATTTAAGCTTCGGGGCACTTTCCACAGTCTTGCTCCCGTCGGTCATCCCAGACGCCAACCAAAAAGCCGCAGATCACAGAGAAGCCATCTTCCACTCTAAACCAACATCCTGACTTCGAACTCTTTCTAGGTGTCCACGCCGAAGATGGCCACGGTTGCGACGCTGTGCAGCGCTGTCCAGGGATTCCTGTGTGGAGAATGTCGTGTCTAGGCTGAAACTCAATCGAAAGTCAACGTGCAAACTCTATCCCTGCCAATCTGAGGACTGGTAGGGCTGATGAGCGTGTGGGCACCTCTCTTACGTCCTCGTGGTGCCTCTAGTTGGTACCCATCGACCTCAACCCTCGAACTCGCCTGAAGCTCTTCTTGCTTTCGGTCACACACCACTTTGCGGCTTATAGGAGAAGTAGGGTGACATACATGTATGCAGGCTGCCGTGCAGTATCCCTCTTCTTGGAGGGACCTTCGGTAGTGGCAGAAACAGCAGGCTTTGGGATTTGGGGATAAGGTTTGTTAACCCTAAACCCTAAACCCCAAAGCCTGAGCAGCCCGAGGCACCCGAACCAAAGGATGGAGACGATCACGGAGGCGAACTTCCTCTGGCAAACGGCCGAAAGCTGCGGAGGCAGTCGGGGTCTTCAAAGACTGAGGATGTGTGGTTTCGGGTTTTTTAGGGTTTAGGGTTTAGGGTTTAGGGTTTGGGGTTTATGGGTGTAGGGTTTATGGGTTTAGGGACTCTTACTGGTGTGAGAAAGGTTCAATGCTGCCGAGGGGCCAGCATTTTGCCTTTATAAGTTGGGATCTAAATCGTAGCTTTGAGTGTTCGGGGTTCAAGCTTTCCCTGCACAAGCAGCCTAAACACTCTTCACTTGAATCCGACGCCCGAATCCTTGAAGCCCTCAACTCTACCTCCATTAAAAGGGTTAGGGTTTGGGCTTCCGGGGCTTAGGTTAGGGTTGTTTAGGGTTCCAAGCTATAGAACACCCCCGAACCATAATTAAGCCGTAAACCCGCTCCTCACAGACAGGGTGATGTTCACCGTCAATGGGGTAAAGTGCGCGGAGAGCCGGAACACCTTGCTTTGGTTCTGTAGGAAAATTCAGCGAGCCAAATTTACCCCCTAACCAACGCATACTCCATAAATTCGCCTCGGCCTCCGCCTCCCCGTTCGCCACGCTTTCCCGCTATTCTTGCTTCCGCTTTTTCCGCCATTCTTGCTTTTTTCTGTCGATTCTTCTTGCTTGCTTTCCGCCTTACTTTTTTCCCTGCCTGCCGGGATTCTTCTTATGATTCTGGGGGCCCTTGACTGAAGCCTAAACTGGGCCTTGGTGGGGTATGATTGGGTACCAGCACTGCTTGCTGTAATTGGCGGGCGCCCCTCGTTGGAAGACTCAGAGCTTGGGATTTGTGGGTGTGGGGTTTGAGGAGCCAGGATTGGTGTCAAGTTCACCCGCCCATGTTGGGTTCAAGGCTCCGGATGCCGGGCTTTTGGGTTCGCAATCGTGCGAAACTTCGGAGAAGAAGACTTTGACATAAAACCCCGCCAACCCAATAACACCGAGGCAACTTCCACACGGTTTAGGGTTTGGGGTTTTTAAGCACAGGGTTGAGGGCTTAGGGCTTAGGGGGTAGAGTCTAGGCTTTTGGGGCTTGGGGTTTGGGGGTTTAGGGCTGGGGGTGAATTGGCACTTCGAGCACCTCAGATTCCGACCCCTTTGATACACACCAGCTGGCACAGGTTGTTGGCCAGGAAGTACCTCAGTCACGCAACTCTGCTGAGACGCACCAGTCCCTTGTTGGACCCGAATCAGAAAATGGTCCCTTTTGGTGCATTATGCGAACTTGAACATCACCATGACCCTTTCAGTCCAAACCTCGATACCACGCCAACTGTCGGAACCGACGGTCGCGGGGGCTATCATATCCCTGCGCCCTCTCACTCATCAAGTTCTGGGGCTCCAGGGCTGGAGCCGTCTTAACCCGCGAGGGGGTGTTGTCTGAAGCTCCGGTGCTCGAGGATCTTCGAGGGTAGTCTTTGAGGTTCCGCTTCGTGCCTTCGGTTTAGGAGGCAAGGTCTAGACTATGGCTGCGATCTGCCGAAAGAAAGAACCGTCCGGTGGCTTGAGTCTCTGGCAGCAGCTGGGACGGGATCGGAAGCCAGTCAAACAACGGTGGCGAATTCCAGGCCAACCTGGCTCCAGGTTTCGGATCTGGTGGTGAAAAAAAGGGTACTGGTGATACGCCCATCGACAAGGATCAGGATGAAGGTAAGTGGTCCTGCTAGCCATAATCAGTCGGAGTGGTAGTGGCAGTAGTCGTGGTATAGAAGTTGTCGTGGTCGTGGTAGTGGTTAGTCGTCGTCACAATCGGCATCCCAGCTGTCGTTGCAATCGTCTTAGTTGGCGCTGTGCCAGCGGCAGTAGTGGTAGCAGTAGAAGCAGTAGCAGTAGGAAGTAATAGTATTTAGTAGTAGTAGTCGTCGTCGTCGTCGTCGTCGTAGTCATCCTCCTCCTCCTCCTCCTCCTCCTGCTGCTGCCCTTTTCAAGCACCCGTACATAAGGCGAAATTGATTCTCGGAAGAATCCCAAGCCCAAAACCACCGAAGCGCCCGAAACTCCCAGCTCGAACCACTGAACCCACCTGGCAGCGGCCAGAACATCAGACCAGAGGAAGATGAAAGGTAGAAAGCTTACCTTGCGACGCAAGGCAAGACTTGTGGGAAGCACAGTAGAGACCCAAGGTTTCGGATCCTTTTAGCTGCATCCCTATTGCAAGGATTTCTTGCGTTCGGGGCTCTTGCTTGAAGCTTTAGAGCTCACAGACGATGAAGCTTCGCTCTTGTCGGGCTCGTCCACCTACACCCCGGATCTGGACACCTAAATGCCACACTCCCAAGGCGCCCCATGACCTAAGCACCAAACCCTAAATGAATGAAGGCCACGAAGGCCAAGCACACCAGACCGAAGCTCATTTGCGTTTGGTTTGGGCCATGCCCGCACTTCAGGTACTTC